AACAAAAGTACAAAAGCAACAGAGGAAGACATGAAACTACATGTAGGACAGCACAAAAAGAGAAGTTGCAAGTTGCTTTGTTTTGTATTCTGTGGTAGTTTTTCCCCTTCCATTTACGCTTTGCCATGATGTACACATAAAATGGAAGAAAAAAAAAAGAAATCAATTTATTTGAGGAAAAGGATGCATGCCTACCTTTAAAGTAAGGCAAAAATGCTTATGGTGAAAAAGGACTGGACTTTTTAAAAAATTGAACAAATTATTTAAGTCAACAACGAGTCTTGGGGGTACATGTAAAATGAATGGACCATGCAACCTGTATATCATGAAAACATTTCAACACATCCAGTAACTTTGGCCTTTGAGTCATCGCTCAATTATGAGTTTCGAGTCACAATGAATTCACAGGGCTTAGCATTGTCCCCCAAATCTTTCCACTTGTGTGCTTATTCTTTTGAATAACTACACTGGTTATGAAGATTTGAATATATTGAGGTCATTTGTTACTCAAGAGCGGTTCCTCGCGAACAATTGTTGTTTACTGTACATGATAGTGCTTGAGCCGTCTCGCGAGCACCTGCGAGATCTCATTCATACTTGTGGGTGTCCATAAGCGCTAGTTTTCCCCACAAAATTTTCAAGGAGATAGAAGGGTCTATCGGTAAGGTGTGAACGCGTACGAGTGCGAGAGGTACTTCAATAGGGCTGAGTCAATTTGAATAACTCACTATTCGAATATTCAATTGAATATCGTACCGATCGGCAGATTGTTGATGAACAAACCATATACAAAATCAGTTGCAATAACGCACACAATTGTACATTATAATCATTATAATAGCTTCTCATATCTAGGAATATCTCCAGCCATGATTTCGCAAGATTTAAGAGATGAACAAGACTGCTTGCCCAGTTGAAAATTCCTACTCCTTTTAAATCTTTTAATGAATAATTTACTTTTTTAATTGTTGATAGATTTCTGTCGCTTTTATTCAAATCTGCTTGAAACGAGCCTCCGCAGTGCATTTTTTTCTCATTTAAAGCAAAGAAAATGTTCCCTTCCTTCTCATGAATTTTGCATTGGAATATTCAAATTCGGAAAGAAACAAATTTAAATATTTGATAATCGATCAAATATTTGGTTATTCATCACAGCCCTATACTTCAATTTAACAGAAGTGTGGTTCATTCGACTGTCTTCAGCAAATTGGTCCAGAGACAATATCAAGGAACATTTCCAGCAGCCATTTGAAAAACTTGCATGTACATGTGAACGAAATCATGAGATTTCAGGCATATCAATGACTCCGGATGCCGCAAATGTGCCAAAAAGCTTCAATGCCAACCACACATCGCGTACACTACACATGTGCACGGTAGATTTCAGATAATAGACACAAACCGAAAAAGTTGGATGTGGGGGGGGAAAAAGGACACAAGTGAACCAGGGAATAGTGCATTCATCAGACACGAGTGACAGGCCCCACTGTGGGATTACAGAACGAAAGGTTGACAACTCATGCTCAGTATCCATAGGTCTTGAATCTAATGCAAGCATGGCTTGGAGGGAATGACAGATGGGTATCAAGCGCGTCAGATGTAGGACACATCAACTCAGACATCGGAAAAGGGGATGATAAGGCGAGCCATGGATTAAAGTCGCTGTCTCTCGGTCTCTGAGTCTGTTTTCAACAGGACCTTTTCGTCGGGTGACTCTGCAAGGGATGAACGTAACAAATTACTATTTGGGCAACCCATGCTTTCCGCATGAAGTATTTACAACGTTTCACACAGTGCACTATTTTGAGCAAATTTGTTAGCGCACATTTGGAATGCTTACAATGTGAAATAGATGATGGATAAAAACCTGTTTACACATGTGATAAAAAAAGTAGAAAATAATCAACCACAGTAGATTCATACAGGACATATATAGGACATATATATTCATATAGAGCAGACAAATCGTGAAATTAAAAGACACCGTCCATTCCGGCCAATCAGCAGTCCTGTTAGGTATGACATCATGGACTGACTGGCATGGTCAAGTGCTCCCCCTCATGCCTTGTGGCATGTTACTGTTTGTTACGGATAGTCAGTATTCAACATACATTTAATGATCTGCATACTGAGCAGGCTTCCACCTCATGCGTAAATTTTACATGCTACTCTGTGGACAATGCTTTCTGGTACCACCTAGTCGTGTCAATGGGCCCTACTTCGATAAAAATTATGTTCTTTAACCCACACAGCAACTTCAAATAGATCAGACTGATCAGAGTCAAAGTCGACACCCACTTCCCTTGTGGTTCCATTCCCAGTAGCACGTGCCACACCCCATCCACCCACCAACGCTTCAAATCAGCCTCGGGTGACTCAAACATCTAAATCGACTCAGGACTTCCCATGCCAACCAAGAGAAACTTCTCTGCCCAGGAATCAATTTCCAGTTACTCACCCAAGGCTAATTTTCACTTGTGATCTGCGGTAGTGACTCATTAATAATGCAAGGTCGTAAAGTGATCTTTTACGGCCCAAACTTTATTGCTAGGAGAGTTTTCAAAGACAAATCAAACAGCTTGCACGTCATGCGATGCTTGCCCTTCCAAGAATTGTCCAGCCCTAAGAACAGATCCATGTTCAGAATTTTCCACATTTAGAATCAACTCCCACATATCTACAATCAGCACAAAAAAGTGTATGTTTCTCTTTTTAGAACGCTGGGTCAAGGCCAACCAAGCTTAGTTCTCATCAAAAAGTCAAACTGGCTAAAGTATCATTCAATTAATCAACTGTGTGGTTAAGGGAGTGCGCCTCTTTTATAACCCCTACAATAAATCAGCGTGGTATTGAGACCACCTACATGTAAAAACCACCACTAAACCCCAGATGACGATCACAAGCCCAACACAAGACCTGTAGTCTGAATTCATGTAACAGCTACACTCCTCTGTTACTCGTCTGGTGCCCTGTCTTGTGACTGGTTGCATGTCTGGTCTTGGTTACTAGTGCTGCAGCCGCACCTCTGCACCGAACCAAAAATCATTGAACATGGCACTTTTGAACCGAACCGAACTGAACTGGCCGGTTCGAACGTTTGGCTTTAATATGGCTTGGCATTGATAGCGCACAGAATGTGTGCAAGAAAACTTGACAAAAAAGCAAACATGACGAAAAATGGATAACGAGTTATGCCGCACCGGCATGTGTAAACTTACGGTGGCCTCACATCACAAGATGGTTGTAAAAAGCATGTGGTGAGAATTCACTAATAATAAACCGAGAACACGCAACATATGGCATTTCTGCTGCACAACAATTCTAAATTCTCACTACATCCAATTGTTCTTATGTATATTTAGATTTAACATTATGTTTGACAATCTCTGATAGCCACGCCCTTACATTTCATGTAGGCCAATGATGTCATAAATGGCCGTGCAAAACGAATTTTGATTGGGCGCAGATCACAGTTGGACTCGTGCTCAATCGAAGGCAACTCCGGAGGGGAAACTGATTTTGTCAGGCGAGGCCAGTGCAGCGATCCAGCGCATGACAAGATTTGGTTCGAGCAGAGGCCTAATTTGCCTTTCATTTGATCATGTTTGATCAAAGTTGTAGTGTGAATGCATTGTAATGGAATTTTGCCAGATCTCTAGGTTGTTCGCAAATCTCCAATAACAAAATCGCCCCTTTGACCATGAGGGCGCCGTCCTGGGAAAGAATGCTGAGGGTTCTTCCAATACATCAAAAGCCATAGTTTGGTAGTTGAATCTGTTTCGTGAAAAATAACCAAAACACAATTTGCTGGAAATCTAATTTTATCTTGTATCCTGTACTGGAGGAAACTCCCATTTGAGCATGCTGTTTTGGTTTTTTTCTGTTTTCACATATCCTACGATCGTTTCGTTGAGTCAAGCGTTGTCCAAACACAACTGCTTTTGGTCTGTAAAACACCGGCCAGAAACTGTCACACCTCCGACAGTAACTTTCTGGGAAATTTTAACTCCTAAACAAATTTTGGGAAACACTTTGGTAAAAATTATGTTCACATCGACGCTGCTCATGGATGGGGATGGAGAGGAGGCTCATTGCTTGTATAAAATATTTTATACAAAGAAGTACAGGTACTATACACGGCACATTTGTAGTGAGCTCTTCGACATCTCAATGTGCATTGTACATGTAAATGCATGTACATGACTACACGTGTGTACATGTCTGAACCCGAACTGAAGTTTGGCAAAAAATTCCAAACCATGTCCGAACCGAACCGAACACTGGCACCTACATGTACTTGCAGCACTATCGATGACAACACCTATGTCAGAACGTACATTACATATACAGGGTGTCCCCGGAAAAACCAAACCCTGAGGAAAGGAGTTAATATGGGGGTTCAGTCCAGGACAAGTATGACAGAGGAAAACCTCATTCACTGGTTTATCCAAAGTGTTACAACTGAGTTCGGATGCCCCATTTTCAAGACAGTGGCGTTCAGTCATGCATGACAGGAGAGACATCATCAAGGTATCATTAGAAAGAATACTGCTTCTACTTTTCGGAGATCCTTTTACATTATAATCATATCTCATGGTTTGGGCATATCAACTCCTTTCCTCAGGGTTTGGTTTTTTCTGGGACACCCTGTACAGTTCACTCATTTTACCTGGCTTGCTGAGCTTAGTCTTAGTCCGAGCGTGGTGTAGTCGAGATTCTTTAGATCATCACAAGACCAACAGAAGATATCCAATCTCAATTCAAGTTACAAACTGCTTAAATGAACTGTAACAATAGCATTCCCTTGTCACAATTCATCCCGTTACTTGTGACTGGTCTTGAGACTGTTCTCATGCATGGTCTTGTCTCTGGTCTAGTGATAGTCTCGACTACAACACTGGTGAGTGGGGCAGACGTATTTGGCTTCACTATAGACGCACAAAGGAACAAAAGATCTTCCCTTTCCTCAATCGTCCATCTTTTCTTCAAGCCTGGTTCTCAAAAGAATAACTGCTTCACAGTCCAGGTCAGAGTGTTGCATTATATAACATAGGTCAACAACGTTTTATCCTCTGAGGTATGGCAACTTACAACAACAGTGACAGAGCACTGTGACCTCTTTCCGTCTTTGGTGCAAAGAGTAAAGCGCATGGTTTATCTTTCTGACACTGGCATGATTGAAGGCCATAATGTGGGACTTGTGCACTTTGCATCCAAAGGGACCCAGCTCTTGGGTGATAATGTCAAGTCTCACATCAGTGAGCTTCCTGTGTTAAATCAAGTCTTAGCAGCCCTGCAGAATCAAGTCTTCACATCACACATCCTTAGACACATACATGTGTCACCTTGGCATTATTACTGACACAAAGCACAACGTAACGCGTCAGGTGTGTCTGAGGCCAAATTACTTTGCTGTGGACTGAAACTATGCACAAGTGTACAGAGATGACTGCAGCCTCTTCCTATGAAGGCCTGTGCAATTTCAGGCTGCAGCCAAGTGCATGTGGACACAGCCCAAGGCAGAGTTTAACTGGATCCATATGTCCCAGCCTCGAAAAGGGCTGGCTCACACGTCTATCCATCAAAGAACTCCACTGTGAAATTGCATTTATTAAAACCAGGCCCTGGATGCTTTCTTTGTTTTTCCAGGTCGAGGTAACAGGGTCACAGACCTTTTCGGGGACTCCAGTTTGGCGATCATCTGCCACTGATTGCACTCTGGGCTTCGACAGAATTCCCGGAGCTCATCCAAAGCTTTCCTGGTCTCAACCCGGCCCTGCTCGTAATACTCATCCTCCGTCAGCAATCGTATTCTCACCTGCTGGTTACTCCACCACCTGTTAAGCCACAAATTGCAAGAATTATGAGGGCCACCATTTCTTTGGGAAATTTTAGACTTGAAGAGAATTCTAAATTATTGAATATCACATTCTTGAAAAGTGCGAGTGTATAAAACCGTGTTTCTTGTTAAATATAAATATTTATGATTCACTATTTTTCCCCCTCAAAGTAAGATCTATCCTAGCACATCAAGGCTGTGAACATTAGCAAGTCTAAATTTCTTATCCCATTCAAACAGTCTTCATTATCATGACAAACATCTGCAAAGTCTTTCATCAGCTGAAACTTAAAAATTACTGGCTAGCCAAAAGGATGCTGTCAACTACAGAAACTGGCTTTAATGTTGAATGGAAGCCTTTGCTACATGTTCGTGCTGAGTGGTACAACCCAACAGAACCCGACAGTCAGTCACAAATTCAGGTAAGACCAAAATGCTAGCAGTTTGTGATTTACACTCTTTGTGCCAATTCATCATCCATATAAGGGTGTGAATGGAACATAAAAAAATAACTGAAAATAGCTGAATTGCAAGTGCAAAGCACAGAGTATACGGCAGGGGGTAGATGCTCTGTGTTGCATTTTACAGCATTTTATGTCCCTGAGACTGCCCTTGTCCGCACCACCACATTGCCAGTCAAGGAAAAGCTGGACTCATTTCAATCATAGGACAAATTCAGACAAACCAAGTCGCTGGCCCAAAGCAAGGCTCCAGGTTCAGATGGCATCCCGGCTGGAGGTGCTGCAGTGTGCAAATCCAGCACTTCTCATCCGCTTGCACAAACTTCTCTGCCAGTGCTAAGAGGAGGGCACAGTTCCCCCAAGACATGCCAAATGCAAACATCATCACTCTGTACAAAAACAAAGGGGATCGTAGCTACCGTAACGACTACAGAGGCCCATCCCTCCTCTGCATTGCTGGAACAGCTTTTGCACGTGTTGTTTTGAAATGGCCGCAGTCACTACAAGAGCAAGTCTATCCCGAGTCCCAGTGCTACTTCTTCAGTGATCTTCTCCCTCAGACAACTGTGAGAGAAGAGCCGAGAACAAAGGCAGCCTCTTTACATCGACTTAAGAGTCAGCGCGCAGCACCCGTAAAAGCTGCTCCTTTCATTTGCTACGTACGCACGGCTGTCTGAATCATGCATATGTAATGAACTATGTAGTGGACTTTTCAGAATTGTTTACCACCTTGTGTTACCTTTAAGAATGGAATATCTTTACATAAATGAACAGTTAAGATATCAGTCTCATGTCCTTTGTAAAAAAAAATACAAATATTCGCGGTCTCTTTTGAAGGATATCGGCATAAAACGTAGGCATTCGTGTGTAAAAATGAAGGTACAAAAAACTGGTTTTAGTGGATCCAAATCTGGGCCGGCAGAATTTTCTTGATGGCAGAAAAATAAATATGTCGTATATCCAGCCAAATAATAAGTTTTTACTTTTCAAGTCGTTGCAAACAGTCAAGTGCACCCAAAATATTTCGTTATTGCAGGTTTAGACTTCATGAGAAAACTGCCGTATGTGTTTCTTGAAAGACTATCTGTGATTGGTTGATTGACATATTCTCTCTAATACTGGCCAATCAAATGACATCAGAGATACGCGTAAATGTGTGTGACCGAAATTGGGAACCCAGACTTTGCATCGAAGGAAACCTGGTGAATGTTGGTTGTTTACTGGGGAACCAGTCTTATCATTCGTCTTGCAAAAATGTAAACACTGCCGGGATCGCTGAGTGAGTAGTGCATAAAAATTTAAAATTTTGATTGGCCCAGCAGCAAAAATATTGGTATTAAACGGATGTTCAATCCTTTTCGTGAAGAATAGTAAGACTCAATCTTATCCAGTTATGGCAAAACAGTCAAGTGCACTTAAAAAAGAGGAGGCCTGCGATTTTCGTGAAAAACACTAAGCAAGTTTGCGTCCAAATAAATCGTTGGGAAATTGTCAATCATCGCCGAAACATAACTTTATTGATAGTGAAAAACGTGAACTATCTACTCACCAAGTCATTTCGACCCACGAATGAAGCAATGGATTTCCTGGCGGGTTGAAGGGACACTACTGTAATCTCGCTTTTTCTCGCGAAATCCCATGTACTCAAGAGATCATTTTCGAGTGCAAATGGAATTGCCAAAAATGCTCATTAACGGAGGAGCTGCGCGCTGACCAAACCAAGGTGGTTAGCAGAAGAGGTCTCTTCACACTGGTCGAGAAGATCGGTTGCCCACCAAAGCTGCTAAGCATTATTTCCTTCCACGACCACTACACACACTCAAGCAGCAAGCTTCTCAACCTTGCCTGCCTCAGAGCAAAGACCAGAGTTTGACAGATCTTGATTAGATCCTCTTTGCTGATGATGCCACCTTGATATCACATACCCAGGCAGGCCTACAGCCACTCGTCAATTCCATGGCACGTGCCTGCCAGGAGTTCTGCCTCACCATCAGCCTAAAGAAGACAGAGATCATGTGCCAGGACATCCGTGAAGTCCCACATGTCACCATCAGTGACCACAGACTGCAGGTGGTTGATGAGTTCACCTACTTATGTTCTACGGTCTCTAACAACTTGTCCCTCGACCCAGAACTCAATAGACGTATTGGGAAAGCTGCCGCTGCGATAGCAAAGTTAACCAAGAGAGTTTGGGAAAATGGCAGCTCACCACAGCTACTGAAATGGTAGTTTACAGATCTCATGTGTCAAGTACCCAAGTAAGAGCTTGGCTTGGAAGAGTCGTCAAGAGAATTGCCTTAACACGTTCCATCTCAGATGCCTGCGTCTCCTGGAGGGACCAAGTACCTAACACAGTTGTGCTGGACCAGGCAGTTACCAAGCATGTTCGCTCTCCTTTTCAAAGAGACAGCTTTGCTGGCTACAGTAGGCAACATACAGCCGATGGTCGATGGCAGCAGGCCAAAGGACATTCTGCATGGTGAGCTGAAATCGCAAGTGCAAAGTGCGAAGCATTCAGTGTGGGTTATGGGGCCGGCCTCTGGAAAATTTTGAAATGTAGATGCTCTGTGGTGCATTTTACGGCCTCCTGGTGCAACCATCTGTCATACTTTTTCTTGCAATTTAGGTTATGTATATTTTAATTTCACTATGTCTTCACATTAGGCTGAAATTCTTGAAGGATAAATGAACTAGTAAAAATTGTAACTATCAAGGTTTGTAGAGTGAGTTGGCCCTTTTCCCACCTAATCTGACCATGTTTTCAAACTTTAAATACTTTAAAGAATGCACATCGGACGTCTATTCTTTTGGATTTTCCCGGCACGAATTGTGTTGCCTGCCAATCTATGATGTTTTCCATTCAAGTCCCTTTCCACATATTTGTAACTTTAGGATCGGTCTTGTCAAAGAATGTATCTAAGACAGAGCCTCTTTGGACAATTATACATTTGTACTGCACTGAAAAACTGTTTGAAAACTCGTACTAAACAATGTAAAACCGCACGATAAAATGTGTGATTACTCGCCGTGCGTAAGTTGTAATGAAGCCCTCTATCAGCGAACACGAAAATTTACTAACCTTATTTCAAGCTGTAAATTGACAGCGAAATGTGTGCTGCCACGAGTTATAGTGGAGCTTGTTAGTCACTACTTCTGCTCATGCAGGAACGGCTGTTATGAGTCCCACTGACACATGAATATTGATGTTTCATTGGCAGCCAGTCACAGCACAATGACCAGATGGTCCGAGGATGCCAGTTTACACCAACCTCGTTACCATGCGTACAATCTTACCGTGCCATGTCGGTTCCCAACATACCTTGTGCAATCTAACCCCTGTATTGTATGATTTAAATATCCCCCTTTTTGGGATATTTAAATTAAGACTATAGTCAGTGTGTTTACGCGCGATGTAGATTTACACATGCATGACATGCAGGAGAATACGTGGGCGCGAGTGTGCAGCTTTTGAAATACGCATGCGATTGACTTTGCGTTTTTTACGTTTATGTATATTCATCCTGAATAGCCAGTCAACATCCTTTTCGTATTCTACACAACCAGGGGCTAGTGAAGGAACATGTATGTTGCCCATGGAGTCAAGGTTGCATTTACACACAAGGCTTGCCCGCACTGAATAATGCCCACACAGATTAGTACACTGTACGCGTATGCACACCATGTACGATAGATTCAGACGCGCGCATTACATGTAACAGCGCTCCAGTCCTGTTTGGTGTCGGAAAGAGGATGTGCAGAGTTTGGCCTGGCCGTCGTGTCACGTCGGTACAAAAAGACAAATAGAAAAATCGGCACTTGCACAAGGAAGAAAAAACAAGGAAAATCTGGCCGGTCAATGGCAAAAAGCGGAAAATGAAACTCGGCATATTCAACAAAAAAGCCGAAATCCGCCAAAAAGCAGAGATTTCACACCCTCGACTCATACTTCTAAAAAAGAGTTAGGACAAGTCCTTGGGCATGCGTTTGTAAGGGCTGTATTTGAGACCAACACAAGATCATTTGCAAGACCCAACACAAGTCCATTAGCAAGATCAGACATAAGAACAGTTGCAAGACTGAACACCAGACCATTTGCAAGATCAGACATAAGAATATTCACAAGACTGGACACCAGACCATTCACAAAACTGGACACAAGACCAGTCACAAGACAAGACACAAGACTAGTCACAAAACTAAAAACACTAAAACAGGGTAAAATGCGACAGCAGAATTTTTTTTGCAGTTCATTTCAATAGCTTGTGACTTGAATTCAGACTGGAGGTCTTGTGTTTTGCCGAGATTTTAGCAGGGAGAGGAAGTATAAACTGCATTTCCACCTCTGCAAGATCACGCCATAGAGAGACAGCGAGTGGCTGAATACCTACCTTAGTATTGATCCAGCTCTCTTCATTCGTCCTCGAGGCAACCACCAGATGACAGCCAGCACTGCTATGATCGCCACTGTTGAGGCCTCGTGCTGGGAGCCATTGTAGATGCTGACCAGCCCCAAGAGCTGAATGCAAAGCTGTATTAGGTAGATGGTGCGGTCACTGGTGACCGGTCCGTACCAATAACACACAGCAAAGCTGATGAAGGCCGCTAGCACCACATAGCCTATCAGGTAGGGTTTGTACTGCAGAGCAAGGAAGTTGTCTAAAACCCAGTGTACAAAGTAGAAACACACTGCCCATCCACCGAGAAGAAGAGAAAGGGCCCCAGTTCTCTGTGCAGCAAGAAGAAAAACACAGAAGGATTGCACTCCATATTTTGTCGGTGGTTTCTCGCCACGTTAAAGGAACTGTAACCAAGTAACAGCCGCGGGTGGCCTATAAACGTGAAATAATGACTTGGCAGTAACACTTCGACATTGCCTTGTCAGAAAAGGTTTTGATTAATAATTGGACACAAATACAAGGGAGGATCTCTGTTAGAATGTACAATTTTCACATGCGCATCCAGTACCAAGTCGGAACAGTTGTCATCGACCTTCGTCAGTATCAAAGGGAGTGCTCCTAATACATGTACAGCCAGTAAGATTCAAGATGCTACATGCTAAATGTATGCATAAAAGTTAAAACAGCACTGGACAGCATATGCTTTTTGCATTCACTTCATTAATCCAATGCTTCTTACAAATCTGTTAGGGCAGGAACTTTTTAAGGAATTAGGCCATCTCCATAAATCTTATGATGTTTCTCCGTTGACTTACCCTTGGGATAAAACGACTAAGAATATACACCAGAATGAGGAGAGATGCCACAGTGCCCAAAGTCACACCGGTGGAATAATGGAACACAACACTCCTGATGGTAGGAAGAGAAAGAAAAAAACTAAAAATTGTAGTTTGAAAAGAGTTTAATCCCGGAATATGTTTTAAAGCCTTAAAAGAGCTTAGGGCGGACCCTGCAACATTTTCTCTGTCGGTATCACAATACTTTTTGTGTGATCAAGGCTTCAGGATTCATTCCTAGAAACGGTTTACAGTCATTTCGACATCGGTTTTATGAAATTCAGACTTAACATTCTCACCTAATAGCTGTTTCTGAGACAGGTCAGGCCTCCCAAAAGTTAACTTTTTACACTGATATGTGCTCTGTGTACACAATACTTTTTGTGTGACCAAGGCTTCAGGATTCATTCCTAGAAACGGTTTACAGTCATTTTGACATCGGTTTTATGAAATTCAGACTTAATATTCTCACCTAATAGCTGTTTCTGAGACAGGTCAGGCCTCCCAAAAGTTAACTTTTGACCCTGATATGTGCTCTGTGTACACGTACATGGACCGCCACACGTGAGCATATGAACCATTGATGTCTTTCAACAAAACCTATGTCTGATTGAATTCACGTACTGGTATGTACTTGCGGTACAAAAAATGCCTTTATACTAATGTCCAGTTTGAAAAAATCAGGCATGGAAAAAATAAGATCTTGGGGGAAGTAGATTCTAGAGTCTATCCGGCAGTCATAAAAGGCCAAAAATGGAAACAGGCCAACTGCTCAAGTTCACTACTTACTTGCTGAGTCTTGGAGCAGCAAAGACTAAGCTCACGCCACCGACAGTCAAGAGGAAATACATCCAATGAACATCTAGGGACAAGACAACAGGCATTTTTATCCAATTTCACCACAGTTTATACTGGATGAATAAACGCAGGCCGTTAAATCTTTGACCGTGAAAAATCAAGTGGAGAGAACAGGAGAAGTTTGAGCTTTGAAGCAAACATCAACCATCCCAGATATTTTCACATCGACTAACTGATGTTGGCCAGATGCTGTACGTAAAGGATTAAAGAGGCCACTACGTGTACAACTTTACTCGGGGCTGGATGCCAAAGTTACCAATTCAGTCTGCTCTTCATCTCTCCAGGCCAACTTTAACTTCAGGGAAAAATGAAAGCAAAGCGAACGTGATGTCAGCGAACATTTGAAACAAAATTTGCTTGACCTGAAATGTGTTCGACTTTTGCAAATACACAGCACGAAATTTTCGTCTGGCATCACAAAAAAATCAAGAATTTTATACCCCGGCGCGAAGTCGTAATGCCGTGCCCCCAGTATCAGTGATCAACCCTCCAACCAATGAATTGGAAGAAATTAAAAGAATTTGTTGATCTGGTACACCACCTATGAGACTAGCTACCAGATTTGATGGGAGCACTCTGCCTCCAAGAGAATAAAAATATCTCCAAAAATCCATTGAGTGTGAGTTCCAGTCATGGGCACTGTCGGACCATTTTGAATGTGAGAGGGCATCATGAAAATTATTTTGTTAAAATTGTGCCATTTTTGGGGGGGTGTAAATTGGAATTAAAGAATAACATTTTTTTTCTACATTAGTTTGAATGTGATGCAAAGGGGTTCAACAGACTTCCATATGCACGCAACTAGTCTATACCCTTTAAAGAGTTTTTCACTTCATTAGAAACAAAAGCCACTTGACCTTTCTTGCAGTTATTTTTAACCACTTGTTGCCGGGTTTAATTTGAAGTTGCATGACGTAAAACCACGGGGATTTCAAGATTTTCCGTTTTCAAAATTCTTCAAAAAATCATAAGTACATTTACTGGATGTTTACACCCACACGAATGACTGTACTCTGGTGGCTACTCTAATCTGACAGACAACATCTATTGATGCACAAGTATTTCAGCCAGGCCTGCCTCCTGGTAAGAAGAGCCCAGATTGTGTGGTGTTATATAAGTTTCCTTTGTTCCCGAAACTGGCACAGTGCGTGGCTGGCATCTTTTCAATGGGGGCCAGATTAGCGTGCAGCGGTACTGTGGCGCTCATCACTGGAGCGCTTTTGTCCCCAATGGTGATCCATTCGTGCTAAATGCCACAAACAGTGGTATAATCTTTCAGAACAACGACGGATTTCCTCCGCTGTCGACAACTGAAAAAATGTCGGCGATTCCCAGCACCTCGGTCTTTTGTTCCGAGTACGGCCTTTTGTTACAAGGCCCAGCTCTTTTGTCCGCTTTCAGGTTCCCCGGCTTCGTCTATTAAGCCAATGTGCCCGAAACCGGGCACCCCAGCAGGAAATGGCTAACCAGTTAGCACACCGACTCACAACTTTAAAACGTGGCCCCCCCCCCAAGAAAAGTCCCACCTCCATGCATCTACCCTGTATTCAGATGCCACGTATGTGAAATAGGAGGATTATTTTTTTTGCCCTGAACATTAGTCTGAAGTAATAGTCCGAACCATTCAAGTTGCATTTCCATCCTAACTTACAGGTTTCGGTGACGGTAACTTCCACTTGGTCAGAGGCTCTCACTCCAATGCAGTTGTTATGGAGTGGAGACATCCCCCTCGGTTGAGACCACACCCATGGTGGGAGCAAGGATGGAAGGATGCCGTTCTTCTTGGACAAATGCTTCTCCACATCGGTCATGTTTGCTCCAACAACGACCGTAATCTTAGTGTCAGGGGGTCCAACATTGACAACTTTAACCTGTGAGAGCGAAACATCATATCTTGCCTTAATATGCCACACAGGAAAAACATAACATATCAACTGATCAAAACTAAGCAAACCATTTCTAAACAAATTGCTAAAAAAAATTTAAAATAGATAAGTTCAATTAACAAAGCTTACCCCTTAAAAAGCATAAACCATGTAGGGGTCTTATCTTGCATTGTACATGACAACAAAATATATCACATACATGTAGCTTCATCAACAACAATGTCCATATCAAGGAATCTCTCCTCCCCTAGCCAGTTGAACAAAAAGTTTCCCAAACCCCCCCCCGCATAAAATCCTAGATCCGCCTCTGAACGTCAGTAACCCCAACCTTCCCAGATACTCCAAAATTCACCAGGGTTAAGAGAAACTTGGTGGTATACATGTACATGTGTGTACACAACAACCAGCCATGAACCTAACATAATAGAACTTCTAAATAATTATAAATTGGTTCCATTGCATTTCCAGTGGGACTAACAGTTTTGCACTGGACGCTTTGACCCTCTAAGTTAGCACCACCACCCCGTATGAAAATCCCACATTCGCCTCTCATTTTGGGTGAATATGGAGGGCAAAAGTAACTTTGTAATGTAGATATATAAAAACTACCAGTGCGGCATAAATTGTGGCCTTTTTAACTTACATTTAAAGTGCTCCACAGCCGTAGCCACCTCCAGTCTACCCTGGCTTCAAAACATCTATTGTAGTTGTCAGTTTGGCAGGATTCCAAGACCTTAATATTCGCTGGCAAAACTACAGGTGAAGACACAGGTTAATTAAAGCCAGCTTGAAGATAGTGTGGACTTTTAAATGCAATACAACAAACCAACATGTACTAGGTCTTTATGCCAAGATGTAACAATCGTTGAAATACTGAGGGCTACTTTGTGAGTGAGAAATCATGCTTCAGTGGCTGAGTAATATACAACGCTTACAGAATGAAAGTTACAAACGAGGAAAAGACAGACCAGACGCTCCTGAATTAGTTTTAAAACACTCACGGAACATGTATCAGCAGTTAATTTTGCCATGACACAAAACAGCCATCAGTATTTTGACAATTGAAATACAACGAAAGCACCCATTAGCACAGGTGCTTTCGTGGAGCTGCCTCAAATCTATACATTTACATGTAAAGAAAACAGGGTCGTGACTAATTTCGCATACAATTTGATCGCTCCCACTGCTTGGTCCGTCATGAAAATTCATGTCGCAGTTTTTGGTCTTGTAGTGGCAACAAAATTGTCATGAAAGTTCTTTGTCATGCCTGCGAATAGCAACCTGTACAGTGAGCATCCTGGCCAAATTTCAGCCCACAAATATGATCAACTTGGTGGATGTCAAGTGACGACAGAAAGAGAAAAGTCGCCTGTGTTCCCGTATCCCAACATACCCAAGTCAGGGAGCAATCCCAGTATCGATGGAGGAGTATACTAAGCTACGTTGTAAGTTAGCATGCTTACGGCTATGTTTAGTATTAACAAGGAGGAAGGACTGGACAGGAGTTTGAAAAGCCTGCCAAGCCACCACAGGGTATTTACTGGCCAATCATGCCAATTAGCAACCCTACATGTAGCTGACCAGTGTGGTTAACACGTTAAGGCATTGGAGACTGTTTCACAAGGATCTGGATCGCCATCAAGGATCCCAGAGCTTGTTTGCATTTTCCATTAGGCAGGTTCTGGCATTTCTGGTGACAGTGAACCAATGACAGATCACTGATCGTCATTCGTGTGGAACAAACTGGCCCCAGGCTATGTTTATGCAACTCACAACTGACATGACTGACTGAGCAAGGCAAGACTCCACGGGAATCCGGGCCACACACCTGTACTACGGTAGTTGTACAGGGTGTCCCAGGAAAAACCAAACCCTAAGGAAAAGGGTTAGTATGACAGAGGACAACCTCATTCACTGGTTTATCCAAAGTGTTACAACTGAGTTTGCATGCCCCATTTTCAAGACAATGGTGTTCAGTCATGCATGACAGGAGGGATACCATCAAGGTATCATTAGAAAGAATACTGCTTCTACTTTGCGGAGATCCTTATACATTATAATCATATCTCATGGTTTGGGTATATTAACCCCTTTCCTCAGGGTTTGGTTTTTTGGGGACAACCTGTATAGGGCCTAGGGCTAGACCTCTAAACAGGGCCCAGACATATCTAATACATGGACCGAGCGGTAAGATACTACATCATACCAATGGGCTCTTCCAAAACTTGCAACTTGGGCAGCAGTTTAGATATGTCTTGACGTGGAATAAGCATTGAAACGATGAGGGGCAACTGACGTAATGTTCCACGACCTTATTTTAAAGATGGCGACGGTGAGAGCGAGCCTGTGAGACTGAATGGATGAAGGCAAAAAGACTGGAAAATACCAGAACTTGAGTGAAATCATTCAATAAAGCGGAGAGGCTAAGGATCATCTCTGTGTGCAAAAGAAATTGCGCCCACGATGATAAGTGGGTGCACCGAAAATTTTCAGCACGCCGACACGAAAGCGCGTACAGGCTCCTACGGATGTGTGGCTGAGGATGGAGCGGGGAGTGAGAGTCCGTGCCACACTGGGGGTTACGCCCCAGCCCGCCGTGCCTGCGCCCACGGACCCACAGTTCTGGGCACTTCCTGAAACAATGCAAAATATACGCTTTGTTAACTATATATACAAATATTACTGATGAAGGCCAGAAGACATACTTTAAAAATAAACTAAGGCTTACCCACTCCAGTAGCACTGCAGATTACAGCGCTGAAAAGGAAGACGAGACACGCGATCACCACACTCAAATGCACCGCCTTGCCCGCCATGTTTCAAACAGCATTTAATAACCATCTTGTAGTTCGTGTCAAGGGGTTCAGTCCACTGATGATTCAACTCTCAAGCTTCATTTGAAAATAGCGTAAAATCAGCGGCATACCAACATCCCTGAAGTTTCTGAAACACAAATAAAATTATTTTCTGGTCCCTAGTCTTTGAACTTCTTTCAATTTTCTGTGGGTTACCCGATTATATTTTTAGTTATTCTTGAAAAGTGATTTTTCCGAAGCAAGCTCAAGCTTGCACTTGCAGCTATTTTTCAACTTTCTCGGCATTTAGTACCATTTTTCAACCGTATTTTAAGCCATTCTGCTCTCAGATGAAAGCCCAAAGACTTAGAGATTTGATCCTGGCAAAGCTTTACACAATCTCAACATTTAGGGGGCCAAACGATCTCCCTTTTCAAAAGATACTGTGGTGGGCACTTTTAAATTCTCACCTGAATTAATACAGCACCCTGCATGCATGCTACTTGCACATGTATGTATGCGGGAGATATCCGGCGATAGAGGGCGACGTAACACATAAACGTAGGGCCTCAAAATACGTTTGTTTCATGTCACCTCGGCCTCGTGATGCCGCAGTCTACTCGAGTTTGCAGGTATTAATTAAAATGTACAAACGAAATTTGATATTACTGACATATATGTATATATGATTGATTTTTAATGTTTTTAGATTGGTACAGTAGAAAAAGAAACGGGTTGATTTTGCAAGCTAGGTTTGTGTGATCATGAAGGAAGGAATGGTGTGATGGTCCTACCCGTCGTTGAATGAGTGAGATAGTCCTGTTTTCTTGAAAATTTGTTGCAGATTCTAGAATGGACACGATGGAGAAGTCTGAGTTTATTAAGGTCCGTGGAAGGAATTTTGTTTGTCAGCTGTGTGACATTAAAATCACTTCAGGTAAGCCCATATATTGTTTTTTTATGTATCAAGTAGGCCTAGGCCTATATTACATTGCAACTATGCTATTGCAAGCCAAGTTGTAATCGCATCTGTCACAAGTCATTCGGTTGTGTCAACTCACAAGCTGTGAACTGTGACAGTCATTCTTTTGTCATGGTTCATCTCGGTAGTTCTTACCAACTGATTGGTGAAGTGACTTGTGGACTGACTTGTGATTGACTTGTGGACTGACGTTAACTTGTAATGAACTTGTGACTGATTTGTGATTGACTTGTGGACTGACTTGTGTTTGACTTGTGGACTGACGTTAACTTGTAATGAACTTGTGAGTGACTTGTGATTGACTTGTGGACTGACATTGATTTGTAATGAACTTAACTTGTGGACTGGCTTGTGGACTGACTTATGCTAGCTTCACTAGTTTTTACTTTGTACATGGTTAGTTGTGATATAATACTAGGCTAGAACTGGGCAAACCCATGCATTAGAACTGTGGAGGGTTGTAATTTCCCAATTCAACTGGTAACGGCCAGTGTACTGTAAGCTGGTCATTCCAGACCAATTTAAACTCCCTCCCCCGTGACCTGACTCAGATCTCCTGAAAAATTCCTGGAAATACCTTGACATACAAAATAAAAGAAAATGGAGTTTCAGGTTTAAAACCTGATTTCCTGGTTTTCTTGTTATAACCACTGAAATGTTAGGTGCTGTGCCACATTTTGGCACCCATGAACTGTACAGTGTATATTCTTCTCCATTAAAGATGGAAAGCTGGAGACTGGTGTGAAGGCTACATGTAATATTTGCCCGCAGTTTTAGATCAAATTAAAAAATCAATTACATGTACCATTTACCTCTTCTAATGTGGAAGTTATGGGCCTCCAAAATCTTACATGTGTACGAAAATTCTGATTTGCTAAAATTGTGTATTGTCAACATTTATGGTGAAACTATTCTGAAGATACAGTGAACGCATTCAATCCTAGACCTGTAGACATTATTTGCAAGACTACATGTAACCAATTTATCTTGTTGCAGAGAAAGCAGTCGATGATCACCTGACAGGGAAGAAACATCAGCGCCTGCTAAGTCTCCGAGTCAGCCGCCAACAGCAAGTACAAAGAAGTATCTTTGTTGGAGGTTTGAGTCGGGTGAATGGGGAACCGGAGTTGGGAGACTACTTTTCAAAGTTTGGAGAAGTGACGCAAGTTATCATCGACAAAGAAAAGGTGCATTTTGCCTGGTAATGTAATACTTCCAATCAGCATTTTAAATGATTTGAGCAGTGTCTCCCAATTTTTTTTTTAATTCATTATTTTGTTGAATTTTGCCAATTTAAGTTTCAATGTTCATCACGTTTGCTGATTTGTGGCATAACTATAGATTTGCAATGCACTGAGTAAGTTCCAATGAGAGATTTTCAAGATGTTTGGTGGAGACAAACACATCCGTCATTTTCTTATGTTTTTGTCATGTTTGAGTTCACACTTGCATATGCTCAAAATGATGCCAACAATACCAGACTGGTCATGTGACACTGACAGGTTTGCAGCAACCGTGTCAAAACTCCGCCATGAGGTTACTATTGCATAGACCTATCTGTTCGACTTAACCCTAACTCTACATAGTACTACGAATTACTAGTTGTTGTAAAATGTAGTATTCAGTCCTGTCGCTTGTAAGAGGACACGACCTTATTGTTCTCTGAAGCCATAAAATAAAATAGATAAGACAATGTACCATACATTGCTGTGGCACTATGAATGCATGGCTTTATTGTTCTCTGTACGAGTAACAATGGAAGTAACCTAGCCAGAGGTAGTAATCTGTAGTGCTAGGTCCTTCAGGCTCAGACTATTACTTAGTATTTTGTAGTACTGTGTAGTGTAAGCCAAACAATGTGCTTGGCTTCATCTGTGGGCTTTAGGTAGTAAGCTTTCATTGTCACTGTCCAACACAGTCATGCACCATGTTTAAATATGACGGCAGTAGCATGTAACAAATACCATTGCGTTTATCGAAATAAGGGATTTATAAGTTAGATGAAGAAGGCCAGGGTTTGCCCTTAACTTTTTTTCTCGCTTGCCAGCTGGACCAGCAAGGCATTGGCATTGCGGAACAGAAGCTCCAGCTTGTTTTACTGCCGCTGCATTCATAGACTTCAGCATTACTTCGGCTGGGCTGGTGCCAGGGACCGAACTATTCCTGGTTGCAAAAGGTTTTATTTTATTTGGTTCAAAAACCAGCAGCAGCAAGAGGGCGTGCATCACAATCAACTATTTCATCGCTTATTTCAGAATATTGTTTTACTAGACCGCCGGACTACCCAGACGAGGGCTTTTGCTAGACCGCTGCGGTTTTTACTCAAATTTGGCTAGCGGACCAGCGTTAAGATTGAACCCTGAAGGCTATCACTTGCATTCTCAATAGGCTCACTATGCAATAGTGGAGTTCACCAGCCCAGAATCGGCCAAGAAAGCCACCGAGGTGGAGAAACAGCTCATGAATGGCCTCAAGATTGTGGTCCGGCCTAGGCTGCCAAAAAATACCCAGCCACAGACCATGGGAAGCGGCCCATCAAGGAATAGACAGACAAGCAAGGGGACAAGTCAGGGGATTGGACAGACCAGGCAGCCAGAGCCTGAATTGGATGAAAGACTGCGGCGGACACTACAGCAAGCAAAAACAGTAAGCGAATTTCCAGACTTCTAACATGCAGGCTTCAGTCACAGTAATGCTCACGAATGATTTCCTGTATTATACCTACATTGTACCATTTGAAGACCTTAGTCTCCTTTGTTTCATGAGTCCATTTCTCTAGTGGTTACTGGGCCAATAAATACTCTCCAGTGTGCAGGTTGTTCCATATTAACTCATTTATTGCATCATCGTAATTCCATTGGACCTTTTGTGGTGGTGGATAGTTGATTTCAGGCCTTGCCCTTTTGTAGTCCCAAGAATGCAGTGAAGTCACAGGTCCTTCTTTACTTCTGATTACATGGAAATGATTTGACAAAAGGCCTTGCTCAAAGACATGGGATCCTGAATTCATATCCTGCTGACAAGTAAGGCTGAGACAACAGGTGTAATTGGATATTCAAATATTTGGCTTTCCGTTGGATGTAATCTTCAGTTTTACAGAGTTCCCGCAAAAGCAGAGACAAAATAGAAATATTTTACCAAAAATGAAATAAGAAAAACTTGCCTTATTGTTAGGCACGTGCATCCAGGAGCCTTTGAGTTTACTCCTAATACTTAGGAGTATCATAGGCTTTGAGAATGTAATTTTGTAACCAAAAATTTGATTTTTATTCCCTTTTTCTTTAAATTTGAAACAGAAAATATTTCAAAAATTAGATATTGGAAGATTTGACAAATGATCCAATATCTGAATATTCAAATAGTCGGCACAGCTTTTAATCTTGCACAGTGATATTCGTCACAAAGATTTGTCGTCACCTTTGCTTCTTCAGGTACCTGAGCAGATGTCTGTCCTCGTTCAGCTTTCAGCCCTATCCCAGGCAGACCAGAGACTGCGTGGTCTGATCTGCGACCTCCTGCAGGGCGTCTTGGAGGAGTTGCTCCCGGGCTGTCGCGTCGCCCCCTTTGGCTCCTCCACCAACGGGTTCGGGGTGCAAGGGTGTGATCTGGACGTCCACCTTGAGGTGAGCGAGCTTGCACCGGGTGAGATGGGAGAGAGGTCCTCACTGGCAAGAGCAGCTGAAGAGGTATTGTTTAGGGTTTAACAAAAGAGGGTCATCCAAACCATGGGTTAATAAATTCATTGCATCGGTTTGGCATTCGAGGCATGTCCTTTAGCTTTGTGTTAGGTGCTGGGGTTTACAGTTGTTGGTTGTAATCAAGTACTATTGAACACAGTGTTGTGGTCAAGTGCACTGCAGTGAACATGAGTACAGAAAAGTACAGGTGTGCTACTTCTTGCTTGAGAATGAGTGTGAGTACAAATGTGCTGATAGAGCCTTCCGTAATGAGGGCTGTTTATAAGCCGAGATTGTTTGTATGTTACCTGGGTCATTTGATGAAGCAGTTTGCATCTGTTATGCTATCTCTCACATTTCATTTTTTTTTTTTTTTTTGGCAATTTCACCACTATGTTGATCAAATTCTCAAAAATGTAACAGTCTTTGCTACATCGACTCCAGAGCATAGCAAAAAGAGGCAGATGGCCAAGTCATGGATAAGTCAGACCCTTTGTGTACAAAACCAGGGGGAGCCATTGACGTGTAAGGATCTGGTCACATGCTACTCTTATTATCCACCCCGAATGGAACCAAGAGAGGGCGTAGTTTTCCTAGCAACGAAGGTCATAATGTACTTTGGTGGGAACTGCTCTCGTTCAGGAAGGACTATGAGATTCACTTGTTACGGTTGTGTGGCTACCAACAAAACAATCCCTCCCTACCAGTGTGGTGCTTTTCAACCGACGAGGGGGTGCTTCTGCTCAAGGCAGATTGGCAGATCATGCCAACTTTGTATCTGTCACATATCCTCCACTCGGAAGTGGTTGAAGACTGTTTCCAATATCATACCAGGAGAAGGTTGAAGTAACCTTTAGGAAGACGTAATGGTTTCATTCTTTAACCACTTTGGACGGGGGGAATTTATTAATGTTGATTCTGCTGGGCCGGAGTATTTTTCATTTTTTTCTGTTTTCAAAATTCTGTAAAAATTCATATCTTTATTTACTGGACACTTACACCCACACGAATGACTGTCTGGTGGCTACTCTAAACTGACAGACAACATCTATTGACGTCAGAGTATCTCAGCCAGGCCTGCCGCCTTGTGAAAAGAGCCCAGATTATGCAGTGTTATGTAATTTTCTTTTGTTCCCGAAACTAGCACAGTGCAGTGCTGACATCTTTTCAATAGGGGCCAGATTAGTGTGCAACGGTACTGTGTGGCTCATCGCTGCAGCGGTGGATCGCGTTTGTCCCTAGTTGTAATCCGCTCACACTGCATTCCACAAACAGTGGTATACTGTTTCAAAACAATGCTGGATTATCTCCGCTATTGCCAGTGAAAAAATGTTGATAATTCCCAGCAGCCTGGTCTTTTGTTACGTTTTACGAGTACGAGGACTTTTGTTACAAGGCCCAGTTCCATTTGTCCGATTTTGGACACCCCGGCTGTGCATCGAAAGAGTCCAAAACCGGGCTCCCCGGCAGCAAGTGGTTAATATCATAAATGGTAACTCTGGTTCAGTTCTCACTGAGGACACTGTGGATATAACTCAAGTGTTAAATAGACACTATACTGGGAGCATGTCACACGTGTAGTCACTACTGAATTCTGACTTCATTTGTCAATTTTGCAGAGCCCGTCCAGTCCCAGGGATGACCACACCCTTTTGGACATCACTTCAGCCACACCACTCGACATACTCACCCTGGTCAGCGATGTCATCAAGCGTTGCGTGCCCAGCTGTCACAATGTCCATGTCATTCCCAGCGCGAGGCTGCCAGTGGTCAAGCTTACCCATAAGGAGTCTGGAGTGCAGTGCGATATCTCAATAAACAACAGGTGCATTTGGTCGAAAGGCTCTCAGAATTTCAAATCACAGAATATGTTGTGAAGAAACACGAATCCATATCTCTCTGACTTGACAAAGAAACAGCTTTTCTTTGTGTCCACATGTATCTTTTTGTCATATTGGATAACAAGACTTTCACTAATTTTAGTCATTTTTAATACTATAAATATAATTTCCCACTCAAGGATTTGCCTTATGATTAGCTGATAGCACATGATGTGATCTTTACTATTTCACCATGCGCTCAAAATTAAAAACCTTCATGTAAAGTACACAAAGCATCCTCACTCTCAAAAGTATCCTGATCTTGAAGGTTTTTTGCCTTGCATTATGGATATACTTACTTCTTGGCACAACTTCACAGTATCTACATCTTGAAATGTTATTTAGTGTAGGATACACTAATCCTAATCCGTCCACGTCTAATCTCCACATCGATAGGCTAGCTCTGCAAAATACCAAACTCCTCCAGTTCTACAGCCAGCTGGGTCCCCAAGTGCGCCCTCTTGTGTTCACCATCCGCCACTGGGCCAAACTCCGCCAGCTGGCTGGGAACGTTGGCGCGGGACCTCGCCTAACCAACTACGCCCTGACGTTGATGGTGCTGTTTTTTCTCCAGGCCAAGGACGAGCCTGTGATTCCCAGTGTGGCCGAGCTACACCAGACTGGGGGTAAGCGTCGTCCACTGTTAGACAAGCATGTCATTTCTTGTATGCAGACATAAGAACAAAAGAGGTCCCCGTAATGCAGGTGTTGAACCTTTCATGGACTTGCCCCAGGTCCACACAAGATTCACCCTCTGCAAAATACAGCCTTAGAGGAGATTTGTGGTCATGGTTATCCGCCAGGAGTATTTAGAGACGAACATTGAAGGAAATGTGATGAGAAAATATCATGTTACTGTTGGCCACAGCTGGGTGATTTGATCAAAGTCTGATTTCTTGCATCCACATTAAATTGGTGCTTTCTGTATCAAGTTCGTTCTCATTGGTCTTTGTTTGTCAATTTTTGACTGTCTTACAGATGGCTGGGATAGTGTGTTTTCCATTAAAGAGGCTACATCAACAGCCAAACCTTTGCAGACTCAAGGTAATTATTTGGACGTTCATCTTTCCAATATGGAAATTCTATCAATCCTAACCCATTAGATCCTTGATTCACAGGGCTCGTGAAATTTTAAAAAATGAAGTTGCCATTCGGACAGGAGAGTCTAAAATCTGGTTGCCCGAACTTCATTTTCAGTTGCCCAGCAAGGAAGTTTTAGCCACACATGGTCTCCAAACTTTCAGAAATTACAGTCATTTTCCTAGTTCCCGATCTCTTGAAATGAATAGGCCTAGGCCTACCCACCTATTTGCTATTGCTCTGCAGTATTACACGCTAAGACGACTTTCTTTTTTGAAAGTTAAAATAGAAGTCTTGCAGTACAAATTTTACTCCCAGAAAATTTCAAGATAAGGAATTCTGGCTAAATTTCAAATTCGCGCTTCGATGTTTTTTGACGGTTTGTCAAAAAAAAAAAAAGCACCAAAAATCAACACCAGAAAAATTACTAGTCGGTGGGTCACTCACTACGCAATATACCATGAAAGTGTTTCCTAGTTTCAGATCGCGCATGCAAGTAGGCCTACATGTACGAACGTCATGAACTCAACTACATATGCGTAACAGATTTGTACATGACGTAATGGGGTCGTCAACTTTGTGGCGGGGGGGGGGATTTGTGATCGACGGCTCGCTGTGCAGCAAAGACAAGTCAAAATTTATGCTGGCTATCCATGTTTATGCACTGAAATTCTAATATATAAACTAGTCCCCTTTAAAATAAAACTTGCTTTAACAAAAAATATGCTTGTTACAATGGTTTTGGCAGAGAAATGGGTTTACACTTGACTACTTTTTATGTGTAGTGATCTAGAACTGGCTAAACCGATCCAGAACTAGGAAAAGTGTCGTCGTCACTTTTTTCGATCTTGTAAGACAAATTAAAAGCTAAAAATTTGAAAATATACATGTACAAGGTAGACCTCTGACCCCATTTCACTGAAATTTGATGATAATTGAGCTGTAATACGACTGAATATAGTTTTAGCGATCTGGAACAAGGAAAACCACTGAATACAGACGCCGCTGCATTGTTCATGCCAGCGATTCGACCGTACGTACCACGGTGCACATACCCGAACATGTACAGTTGTGCAACAATCAAGGTTAGGATGTGGATCTTTTTTGCAGTCTTTTTTTTTGTGATCTTTTTTTGGTGCACAGTGCTGAAATGTCCAAAACGCCGGGCAAAAAAATGTGTTGCCGAAAAAAGGTGCTTGCCCGTCGGGCTGGCAGCCTGGAACATTTGGTTGCCCGACAAAATATTTTGGTTGTCCCGGGACATCGGACTACCGATTCTGCGAGCCATGTTGAAGTGGTATTATGGTTCCTGCTAGTAATCAATTTGAGTTAGTATTTTTAGCACAGTGTCCCACGCACGAGATTCTTAATCTCTTCCCCCTCCCTGCCACATCTCCAGACTTCAATCCACCTCCTGCAGAAAGTCAGAAAAATTGTCATTTTGTCCTGTCAGGTGATCTTCTCACAGGATTCTTCAGCTTCTACAGCAGATTTGATTTCACCACCTCTGTCATCTGCCCTCTCTCGGGAAAGACAGCTTCCCTCTCGGAAGTCTTAAAGGGGGGTCGGGATGATTCCGGGAGAAGCTTCAAGGCAGGGGCAGTCAACGTCCAGGACCCTTTTGAGCTATGGCACAACGTCACTTTGAATGTGAATGAGAAGACTGCCCAGAGACTGTCCGCAGAGTTTGGCATCGCTGCCCGGCTCTGTCAGTCCGTGCTGATGCAAAAAGGGAGAGGTGGCTCTGAGGGCAATCCTTGGGGTCTCCTGGCATTATTCGACCTAGCCAACTATTCCTCCTCCAAGTCTCAGCCCTTGTCTAACATGGCATCAGCCGGCAGCGGAACATCTGCGTCAAGTGGAGCTACAATTGAGATCAACCTGAAAGCCTCACACCTCTCGGAGAGGTTGATCGCAGAACACCCAGATCCTGGCGACTTGAAATTAGTTTGGTGTGTGGCTGTGAGAAAGCTGCTCTATCGCGTTCTCACAGAAGCCTTGAGGTTTGAGTGTTGTTGGTCAAGCAGCCAAGAAATGGCAAGTCCATCCAAATTGACTCAGACTAGTGAAGCAACAGGGCAACAGCACCTTGGTCCCTGTCAGACCACAGATGAAAAGATCCCAGAATCAAGACTGCCCTGCCCAGCTGCTACCTCTGAAGAAGATTCCAACAGGAACTTTGATGAGCCACCTCCCAGGAAACGTTGTCGAGTAGCAGATTGTCAGGATGGTAGTCAGTCTTCAACATTGTCAGATGATTGTTTGGATGGATCAAAGCAGGAGGTTTCAACATCTACACAGAGTGCTTACCCATGGAGCTCAGCAATGGAGATGTTAGAGTGCACGGCATACCATCATGTCTGGCTTGGGCGACGCAAGGCCAGACGTCAGCTACAGTTGAAACGCAGATCCACAGACGGTCACTGTAACCCTGACGGAAAGCAGTCGATGCAGCCGGGATCTTGTCAGCAATTCACACACATTTCACTGCCTGACTCTAGCAAGGTGTCTCCAAGGAAAGACGGATCACGTGATGTGCAAGTCGATTCCCAATCAGCCAGTGACAGTCTTCTCCTTGAGAGCCAGGTCACAGATGTGATCATTACCGAGAGGCAGCAAGGAGACTGTGTGTCCCCGTCGCCTATCTTAAAGTTTACCCTTGAACTCAGGGATAACGTTACCTGTGGAAGTACGGCTGTGGTTATGCGCTTCTTGCCAAAAAGTGGAGACACGGACTTCAAAATGTTCCTGCATTTCTTTGATTCTTTCTTCCAAAAGATTTTGGATCATTGTAAAATTTAAAAAAAAAGAATAATTACCTTGGGTTTTTTTTTGAGGGAGGGTACTTTTTGAGTATCGCTTTCAGTGACATGTTATATCAGCAGCACACACTCAAAGGCACAGTTGCCATTTCCTTTGGAAGCGTGGACTGTCATTATTTGAAAAGTAGGTTTTCTGTTAACCTGATGTTGGCTTAGTTTGATGACTTTCTACACAGACATGCAGTTATTGTTTTGACTATTTGTTCCTCCTATGTGTGGCAATAGGAAATGAACAGAGTCTTTGCATGTTAGCCATCTTGTAGAGCAGTTCTTTTGTTCATCAGAGAAACCTCCTTTGAGCACTAGCCTACAAGATGGCAGCTATGCAAACCCTCCGTAACACATACAAATTCTTCATAGCTTGGAAGTGGTTTATGTTTCAAACTTAACCGTTGGTAGTGTCTCATCAAGCTACCTGTCCACCTGTCCCGAGGACTGGCAAAAGCATATTTGGACTGGCGGTTATTGCTCCTTCAAAATTTACAAGCCTTTATTTTTTTACTTAAATCTTTAACACTGATGAACAGCTCTTCACATTCCTTCTGAAATAATGGTTGCAGTGGAAATATGGCCTTGGATAGGGACTGGTCAGACAGGTTTTAAATCAGCTGAGAAGAGACAGGTAGAATTTTTATTCCTTGATGAAACAATCATGGTTGGAAGCTTGTTTTCTCAGGGCTTGGTCCATAACCCTAATTGCCAGCGTGGTGCTGCAGCCCTTTTCAAACACATTTTTTATGGCATGAGTGTTAACTTAAAAGTACTTTTCAGTCAACCCAACCCAAACCATGGCTTCCAAATAAATATCCCTTTCACTTTTCATCTTGAATTTTTGTTTTCACTGTTTTGCACACATCTTGAAGGTTCCCTACATTAATTTTTCTGTCATTTATTCCAAAGTTTGTCGATCGATGCTAACTCTTAGGAACAAAGTTACATTTATGTCTGTACAAAGTTATGAACATGTTGCACTGTTTTCAGACAAAAAGCAGGGTTTGAAATCTCACACTCCACCATCCATGGGTATATAGATGCCACATACACATGTACATGCTGTGGTGTATATTATTGAAAAGCTGTGCAAATTGGGGGAATTTGAAATTGATTGCTTGTTGCAATTGTGCATGTAGATTGAGAGCACCGAGCTTGAGGTCTCTAGTTCAAGTCTAATGTATCAAGGCTATTTTCACGGGGATTTTTTCCTTGTTAGAGTTATTTTTTTATGAATCATACAATTTTGGCTTTTAGAAATTGCTTTATTGATTAATATGAAATAATTGACAAACAAAAACTGGATGTATCGGTGATCATTTTGTGATTTTATTTTTCACTTTGGTTTCCTTGCCATGAACAAAATGTTAACATCTACAATATCGGATGTAATCGACTCTAATTCAAGTTAAAGTACATAAAAGGTTTTGGTGCCATTGCAAAATAGGTTTTCCGTTCGAAAGTACATTTTTTAACAAATGATGATAAACCCGTCATTTATTATTAAAGTCCCTCGTTTATACTCTATAGAGAAATGCACTGGTAAACCATTGTCGTGTATAAAGTACGGTAACAAACATTTCACGTTCTCTAGTCGGATTGCACACGTCAAAACAGACTTTTCTTATTTTCCACCCAAAATAAAATAAATATTTTTCATAAACTGTTACTAAATATTCACTGTTGTCTTCAAAGTACACTTCCAGATCGAATGTTTTTTCTGGTTTTATGAAAAGTGAGAAAGCAGTCCAGAAATGTACATTAGTTAAGAAGAGATTGTCAATGAAAATCAGATTTTATCCTCATGTTGATTTTCATTGATACAGACTCGTCCTGGATGTCAAATGTACACCCACAACGATCCCAAGTCGACTAATGATTGCCGACATCCATATTTCGATTTTGGATGAACTTGCTGTTTGATGTTCGGTGCAATTTAAAGCTAAACAAATGGCTAGTGATAATATGCCTTATATGTCACCAAATTTCTTCAAAGAAATTAAGAATGAGAGGTATTTTCCAAATTCTTTCCTCAAAAATCTGTGTTCTTGTGTTGGAGCAAATGCGAATGCCATTATACCATGGATTGATTACATCCTTTCAAAATGAACGAGTCTTGACTTTGTAGTTACTCCCACAGGACGAGTGTCAATCAAACTTGCATTTTGGATTTCATAAATCTCTTACACCCGGTCATTATGTGTGATTCCTCAGAGTACCGTAATAATTACTAGCGTCAGGCTTGTGTCTTAAGCGAGGAATATTAATCAGCACTCCAGGCTTACCGTCGTGCTCAGGAATGCAAAATTTTAGCGAGAGTGCGGGGAGAGGGGGACAGGCCCTGTGTGATAAAGATTGCGTCCCCCGCCTCGACACGTTTGATGAGCATTAGAGCTGAAACATAGCAGGCATGATATTGCATATTTTTTGCTGCGTTCCTACAACGTAGGTTACCCCGAGTATCCTTTGGGAAGGAATGTTTGTACGCTGATTGACGTCAGCTTGACCGCGTACTGTATTTCACCCACTTGAAGCATGAGAGAAATCCCCCGTGCCCAATCGTGACTCCAGTGCTGTATGTTGATGTGCGCATTTCCTTCTAAATAAAGCGTACTTGATTTTTCTCCGCACGCCAGAACAAATAATATGTATTCGAGGCTTCTCAAGTGGACAATTTCAACGTCAGTAATGTCCCAGGACACGGAGAGCCGGTATTGCTAACGCGACTATACTTCATCAGCATCTCACCAAAATTTCATGACCGTTTTTCCTCAGCCTGTTATTCCTTCAACAGCCTTTTTGCTATTGCCCCAGAGAGCAGTATACCCCGCTCACTTAACTGCCATGCCCCACGCGGACAGTTGGAGGTTGTTGTCACGGACGTGTATAAAAAAATCCGGACTCGCAATGCCCTTAATCATCTTATAGAGATCATTGAATCCACTAGCGGTTGGCTTCTTTTCATACAAAGGCGTTGCAAGTCCAGGTTTTTTTTATATACGCCGTGGTTGTTGCAAGCAGGTTAAGGGAACTCAACCCACCCACTGCCACGTGATATCAACAGATTCGTTAAAGCTTAGCCAATGGTTGCCAACGTTTTTAGCCGTGTCACAGAGATTGATCGCAACTCAGTGGGTTTTTTTGCTCTTCTGAAAGAGCAACGATTTGACCCAACCTTAACATCGCACCCTTTCGCTCAGAGAAATAAAGATGTAACATTTAAAAAGCCCATGTACTGTTCTTTTAATGCAGTTCTTGTAAATGCCCGTTGTGTCCCATTCAAACTGATGTTCAATTATTGTGCCATTTTAGAACATTTAAGTACATTTTTATTGGCAATGCACACGTGATTTTGCATATTTATGCGCGAAACTGTGATGTCATCAGTGGGATACATGGTGTCGCTAAAAATTTGCCAGAATTTTGGACACTTTGCTGAAAGTCGTAAATTATGTTTACTTTGATAATTCGTTGTTTGTTTTCATGAAAGTAGGTCAGTGATCGAAGTGTTTACATGATATTTTCAATGAGTAGAATTTGGGTTCACAATGTAAACATAACCCCCACCCCGAACAGTGTCTCCCTGTAATGACATCACATTTAAACTGTTTCAAAAAAGTAACCAGAAGAGAGATGTCGGGTAATTTTCTGAAATTTTTGAGGAGTAGAAAGTATTACAAAACACGTTCCAAATTAAACTTCACATCATGGACCCTTGAAGCCTTTGATAAAAACGGACATAATATTGTCCGTTCGCCATTGAGCTCGTGATGGTGTCTTTTATTTCCAGTTTCTCGAATGGATGCAATTTGGCATCAAGGCAGCATGACTACATGTCAGTCATCATCAGCATTGCTCATAATGAGTACAAGATACACCAGGTTTAAATCAGCAGGATAAATAATGTGAAAACAAATCATCCACTGTGTGTGTTCCCAGATCTGTGTGGAAAAATCACACGTCTTCTGCTGTGGTGTGAGATACCAAGTGCACGGCAACCTGACTGATTCTGAAGCATGCGCCCTGCAGCCGTGGGTATTTTCAAGTCCATTTTGAATGGATAAAGAACGAGTGCTTGACACGTGCCGGCACATGAAAACATTTTAAATATATGAAAAAGGAATGGGACATAATAGACACTTGTCCGAGTCTTTCGACAACTAGTACAACCTTTCCAACGCCTTTGTCCAAATACCCAACTTCTCACCATAAAAGAAAGTCGCAGCACCCGATATCTAAATTCCATCTTGGCTGGTGAAAAAGGTGCGAATACCATACTATATAGGCAGGAAACTTCATGTAAAATATACGTCAAAGCAGGAGACTACTTGCCGCCGTTCAATAAAGCATAATAGAAGATAACGTTACTCCCTTTGTGTCGGCTTGATTTAAGCCTAATTAAGGCATCATGGGATATTAAGTTGGTCGAACTGATTTGAAATTCTGTGTTTACGTTTTGGCGTATCTGTCTGCTTAGGAGGTGATCCTTACTTTCCTCGAGGTAGGCTCACTATTTTTAAATATACATCACGAATAGTGTAAAAGATCAAAAGGTACACATAATTTCCTGTGGCTTTGGACTTTCGACTGCCGATATATACAAATAGTGTAAAAAAGCGGCAAAAAAGTTTCTCCGTCCCTGGGTGGGCTCGAACCACCAACCTTTCGGTTAACAGCCGAACGCGCTAACCGATTGCGCCACAGAGACCGAGGACAGGTACCTTTAGCCGTGGGCACCACTTTAACCTATTTGGGACAACACATATGTCACTATTGTCCTGACATTATTCCGAGTGCTAAGCTAAGCTATTTAACTTTTAAAATTTTGAACAGGGTTGGTATAGTAACGTGCACCGCACTATACTAAACTATTTGAAAGCATAAATGAAACTCGCTATTACCCTTTATAAGCGATTCTGAAGGCAATAGCTAGTTTGAACACATACATGTCTTCGTTTGACTAACTGTAACTGGCTATCTCAGGTAATTCAAATTGTTCGTTCAAACTAGACCAACTATGAGTGTACTTTCGCACATAACTAAGTGCAGACTTAATAAAGAACAAATAACTGACTTAAGCAAGAAGCGTTGCTCCGAGATATATGTAATCGCCATTATCCATTCGATGAGTGAGCAAAATGATTACAGGACGCGCGTTATGCTACCTTCTCATGATAAAACTAGTTTCCTTTCTCCGTCAATTACATTTTTAAACTGCAGGTGAAAATATTGCCAGGGTAACAGGTTAAATGCAACAGAAAACCTCACTTTAAGCTGTTTGTATATTCACTAGTCTTTTTGCGACTCGATTTTACCACTAATTTTGCGTGGGCTACATGACGGATATTCTAAGATTGCCTTTGTAACTAAACCTTAATTTTCTGTGATAAAAGCCATATTTGTAAATTGTCTTTTCCATCAAAATGTTGGAAAGGTTTTGATCGAACGTGTTTTACATTTGACTTGGTAAATGAGTAAATATTACTCAGAATATCGTGAAGAATCAGTAGGCCTATACATCAAATATATAATCTACAAGTTCAATTCATTTTGACATGAAATTGCGAAGTGGCTTACTGTTTACGGCAGGGAAGTTTTCAAATTATTCAAGGATTTCGTAACACAATAAAAGTATGTTGCATCCTCATCTTAGTAACTGTTATGTTTTCCATACTGAAACAACGATTTTCCTGCACCTATGATTAAAAAGTGCATAACCATTTGATAAATTGTATACGGAAAGACTTAATGACGGCTAAAAACTTGGGAACTCAACTTTACTCGTGCCATGTGTGACTTTTCACCACTGGCTTTGAAGTGGAAAGACAGCTTGAGTCTTGAATAAACAAGAGGTCACAATTTCAACCCAGGCTCATACCATAAATACTTCGTAAAAGTGAAATTTTCAGGCACAGACAACTACGTGTGCTTCCTTTTTCATTTCCAAGTTGCGTCATTTATAGCACTGGATAAAAGTCGAGGCTTTTTATCAGGTGAAATAAAGATAACATTGATATCGCCTAATGCGTTAATCAAACTAAGATTATGAGCGTTAATGACAGACTCGTGTGGCAGGACGTAGGCCTACGTGCATTAGTCGCGAAGTGGGAAGTTATCACTCGGTTATTTGGCTGATTAAAATAAGCACACATGCACAAAATGTCGACAAACCCTCCCCCGTGGTTCCAATCCCTTTCTTCTGTATGCTGTGGTTCCACCCACCCCTGCCCCAGTGGCAATATCCAAATTACTTGGCTACGGTTTGAAACATTTATTGACGAGTCTACGGTAGAGGCTGCAGTCCTTCCCAATAGAGTCACGTGTATGTGTAAGCCGCAGCCAAGCAAATCGGACATGGCCGAGCCATTAAACCTGAAACACCGTGTAGCCAGGGATCACGCCCCAATAACACAATGCAACCTGGGAAGTGGTGAACAGGGATCACTCAGAGAGAATACGGCTTTTGAACATAAATCGTGAAAAAAATTATATAGGGAAACTGACTAGGTTTTTAATACATGTACTTAGGCAACGTGATAAGACAAATATTTTGAAAATCCCCGCAAATCATCCACAAGAAGGCACAAGGTCTTCAATGTGTCATCCGAGATCGAATCAATTTGAGCTACATTTCACACACAATATATCGTTTCTTTGATGTTAAAGTTAGTCATATGTATACTTTTCTGGGCTTTGGATGTGAGTGATGGAACTTTTTTTCACGATAACAGCTGCCTATTCCTCTGCGTACAAACACGAAATTGCACCATGAAGTCTTAGAGGGTCTTTTTTGTAAACCTTTGATAGGCAATTTCACTTAAGAGTTTCATTTTTTACATTGATTACAGACACCCTGTTCTGACGAGGCATCTTTGTAGATAGGCAGCACCTACAGGCACCGCGTGGGCTGAAGAACCCGCAGAAGAACCGTTTGAAGCCACTCCTGAAATTACGGTTCAGCATGCCGTAGATGAGCGGGTTTATGGCGCTGCTGGCGAACATCATGTACACGGAGAAGATGTTGAGGGCCGGAGATACATCCCCGTCCCAAGCCGTCTCCAAGAAGTTGATGAAAGTTATGGGCAACCAGCACAGTATGAATGAAGTCAGGACAGTGCATACCATGACGGTGACCCGCACGTCATCCTTAGGGGGTCGGAAGTTGCCCCCTGCAGTTGCTTTGCCAGTAGGGGCGGTTTTGACCGTCTTCTCGGTCTCTTTTTTGGTGCTGCCCTTCTGCCACTTCAGCATACTACCGTCCCCTTGCTCGGGTGCAGACGAGGTTCGGCAGACCCTGGGGTGGGCACTTTTGGATCGTGAAGGGGTGGCTTCGTGCGCTTTAGATTGGTCAGAATGGTCTGTTTGGTAAGACACTGGCACGGCAATAGTGAGATTCTTGTCTGCAGTCTGAGCCTCGCAGTCTGGGGCATTGTTTAATACCTGTAGGAACCTGTTGTCGTCTTTGATCTGTGCTTCTGCGAGGGACCACGACCGCCCTCTGTTGGCACTGTGGACTCCCGGTGACAGGTGATGGCCCAGCGTGATGGGTTCTGGTGATGCGGGCGATACAACCTGATCCTTGTCACCCACATCACTCAGAATCGCCGCTGGCATCTGTTGGGTCGACGGGCCAGGAGGGTTACTGCCGACCGCTCCACTGACCACTGAGACCGCACTGACACTGTCGGCTTGCGGTGGTCCCGTGCTCTGCAGGCTTTCCCGCCTCGCGGCTGCCGATAAATGCCGCTCGACCGCGGCGTTCAAGTGCCGCCCAAAGCTACTATTGCTGAAGTTCCGTGACACCGACCCGTCCTTCCTTCGTGTGCTGTGACTCCGCATCCTTTTGAATTTTTTCCTCACCAGTCGGAAAATGGCGGCGTAGGCAATGAACATGACGACAAAGGGAAGGAATATGCCCAGTGTGAAGACAAAGACCGTGTAGGTGATCTCTGTGGACCATTTCAATGTGCAGATGGCTCTCTCTGCAATGAACTCGTATCGTGACCAACCAACGACTGGAGGGAAGGAGAGAAGCGCTGACAGAAACCACAGGCCTGCAGGGAAAAGGGAAGAAAAGAGAAATAAAAGAGAAAGGGGACTCACTTCAAAATACAACACAAATAAATACATTTCTGGATCTTGTTTTTTTTTTAATCACTGCATGCACTCAGCTTCGGTGTTTTTATGAACGCACAATCTCGTAATATTCCATTGCGTGAAAATGTCAATAATGTTTGTACAGACAATCCTATCCCTAACTCTGAATAAATATCGGCTGTTTTATCATGTCAGTATAAAACAGCATCTCTTTCTGTAATCTGTTTTCTGATTCGAAGTAGGATCTGTTGATCAGTTCACTCCCTTACCGGGGAATAAAGGGCTTTGCTGCGTACGAATCCGTGTGTTAGCGCAATTAGGCATGTCTAAAGGAAGGGTATTTTCAATAGGTTTTGTTTACAAGTTGGCCACTTTGGATTGTAGTTGCCAAATCCACTTTCATTGAACACTGTGAAAATGAGACGAAGCATGTCTTTTTTGCCATAATTACAGATTTAAACTCACTTTGAAAAACATTTTGTTTCGGCCTGGACAAAAGGTGACACGACTTTTTAAACACACTAGATGGAAATATCTATTGAAGCACAGGAATGGGTAAATTGTCCCTTTGTCTTTGTTCTATACACGAATTAAGTTTTTTGGAAGCTTTTTAGCGATCGCTTCGGTTTCGATACAAGATGATCGACAGGATAATAAATCGTACTGTTTTTCTAAACCGATTAATGGTGTTGTTTATGTTCATATTATTATTATAAAATGTTAATTCATTAAACTTTTGCGGCCTGATGAAGACCGTGATGTAGTTTAAGTTACAATCATTAAATTAAAAACGCATTCAGTAAAAGATTTATATCAAAGTATCATGACCATAACAGTAAAGACTGTGAAAACATAGCTCAGAAGCATACGTGCTGATAAAGACATTAAACACGACCACTCCTTTTATATTACTTATGTCATATTATAATTATTATATCATATATTGTATATATCCTTGTATGAGTTGCCACAGCGTAGCCAATTAAGCAGTCTAGCCACGAGTGTCAAAATGCAACGGGCTCTAGAATTTTTTTTAAATGTGACTAAGAGCAAAATTGAGACGGGTGAAAGAGATCACAGAATGCAGAACCGGAATGGCGAAGGTAAATGGTGAAAAGCACAAAATAAATACAAAAATCGTTCCGAAGTCGACTATTTTCTTACTTGTGTTTTCAGTAAAGGCCTAGAACCTATTTTTGTAATCTAATCTACACGGGAAGAAAATTCCATTTTGCAATAGGAAGACGAAGTCCAAACTACGGGCCTGATGGATCAGACGAGAGACAACGAGGCGGGGGCAATTTTATAACCGGTTTTGTCGCCTCAGACGAACAAGATTGAACTGTATAGATCTTAATTCAAAAATGTACCGCGCGTGTACCGGACAACAAAAGCTTGCCATGCCGACAAGGTTTAGGCCTACGGGAGTCTGTGAAATCATAATGCCACAGCAACACGGCTCTGTTCAAATGACACGATTTCACAGGGGTAACGCGTGGACCTGGATTATTCACGACTTGTCTTGAATATTTTTGCGACGTCATGAATTTATGAACGACTTAGTTGCGAAAATTTTCGGGACGTAGTGAATGTCACAACGTCGTATGTTTCACTCTTTCGTGACTAAATTCACTACTTCGCAAAAATATTCACGACTAGTCGTGACTAAATTCACGACATCACAAAAATATTCACGACAGGTCGCACATACTAATGTATGTCCCCCAAGGCCACCATAGTAACCGGATGATTCAACAGACTGACTAGACGACATAGTCTGTGAATTTGAGGAACAGCCTCATCGAGAGGACAGGTGAACTGAGGTTATTGGGCTCCCCCAATACCCGGATCTCGTTTCCGTCTCACGTTCGCCTCTGAAATCAATACCCTCTTTTAGGCTTGCTGCGTTCAAATTAAATCGAAATGCTTGTTTCGCTGGCATGTACCGACAGTTCCACGTCTTGTTGGTAGTATTTGACTTATAGTGACTTCAAAGTCCGAAGATGAAAAAAAGGGCGAAGTCAGAAACGGAGAATAACCCCATTATTGTTGGAAGCAAAAAAAAAAAACTCTTCAAACCTTGTCAGCGAGTTGCTGCTCAGGGTCGTGGCTGGGGGTGGGGCGTGTGAAGGGTGCACGCCCCCTATGAAAAATCATCCTAACTGTTTTGATGTTGTGTCTTCTTCCATGGAGACAACTGGTCACCAAAACACGAACTGCACAGTCTAAAGTCGAGCAAACGAGCTTATCTTCAACCAATGTACAGCAACGATTGTAGCTTGAGGGATTTCAATGGCTTACTTATGTCATTTATCGGGGACAAGATCTATGCCTTTACATCCATTTGTTATATTGGAGAAAGTTGATTTCTACGTAGGGAGAACACTTTTCACAGAATACTGATGAATTTAAAATACATAGGCCGAATGGTCTAGTATTTGCATTGTGTGGATGATTGTGTGGTGATTTTTAAACTTTTTAGGGGGAGGGGTTTACAAACACATGATTTTGATGTGCTGAAGAAATTCAAATTAAGTAATTTTAAGATTTCGGGTCTTTTTTAAGATTCTTCTATACGATACATTTTCCCATGTGTAAGAATGTAACTGCAAACCAGTCATTTTCTGTTTTGTTTAAGAATGAATTGTGTCCAACAGTGATGCCAGTAGGGGTCATTGTCCTATGATACACTGCGGGTGGGTAAACGTGTGGCTCATTTAAGGACCATCAGAATTGGGACGTGAACAGAATACGGGCGGCTCAGAAAAGATACGCGGTCACAAAAACCACTCTGTGTGGTCATTGCGAGAATTCTAACAGACTTATTAAAATAAAAATATTGAAGGGTCTCCAATAACCACACAAAGCGAGGGTTTTTTCCCGACGACAGCGTACGTGCGCCATTTTATTAAATTTAGTGTATACCGCTAAGTGCTTCTGAATCCTTCGCCGGTGCTTACAGAAGAGGAACAAGCACCTCCACCCCGCTGCGTCTGTGATCCATTTTATACTGTTTAAAGCAAATAAAAGTGTTTTGAGGTGGCTTTAAATAAGTATGTTTAACATACCAGCCGGATGCCTCGTCACACGACAATAGACCGAGTTCTTCAACAGTAATCAATTCAGCATTTGTTTATATATTTAAAATGAACTTTGGAAGCAACAGCTGATGATTTCGTCGGGACTCGGGGCAGGTGTGTTGCTGACAAATCTTGCAGCTTTCAGTCGTTTTTTTATCCTCTGTAATTAAAAGCCATTCCCGTCACGAACTCTGGGCCAATCAGAAAACTCAAACTGTTTTTGATACTTATGAATAATTGGTAACTGTGAATTCAACTCAAGCGTTAGGAAGCCATTTACCCCACTGAACATTCATAGCCGAGCATGATGTAGTCATTACACTAAATATGAAATTCCACTCACATCTGAAGAACATTTGATTGGCCACAGGGTTAATTAATGTGCACGGGCTACATTCCTAAACCCAGGACAGAACTCAAAAACCCATGGAGAGTTAATACGTTCCCGTAGTGACTGTGTTCGGAATTTTTTAGGTTTTTTTTACAGACAACATTTGGGATAAAATACGGCAGCGTTAACGTCATCGTGTTTGCATATTATGAGAAAGAAAGTCAAAATTAATGTTCCCATGTCGAGGCTGGCCAAATAAGACAACAAATCTTATTTGGTTGACATCACAATTAATATGTAAACTCAGGACTGTTTATGGCTGGCTTTCAAAGCAATCAGCGATCACATCAGAATATTTTCAGCAGTGGCGTATTCAGCTTTTGGTGTAGGGGGAATTCAAAAGTGAATGTGGCTTTGGGCTCTTTCAACATAAGTTTGGGGAGAAAAAAACCAGAAGCCTTACTCGCCATCCCGACATCCTTGCTTTTATTTGCTGATGTTGTTTTCTGAGGATTTTGGTGTTAATGTTTGATAAATAAATGTACCAGCTACTTAATTTCCTACTCACCTTTGAATTATATTCTTTGTTTAAAAAAACCCATAGGGGGCCAAGTTGCCCCCCCCCACGCCATTGATTTTCAGTGACGGAGCAACTGGGTGCATGTCATGGCGCCAAAGTGAAAATTATTTTGTGGTAGAGAAAAACGAAGCCCTGAACCTCGGTAAATAGGGGATAACCCTCCCTTGCCCAACCTCATGCATCCTCTTCAAGTCATGGTTTATTCATTTGGCGTCTCACATTTTGACACGAAATTTATTCCAGTGTGGGATGTACAGTTAGTTATCGCAGGGCTGCCGGTCGTATGTTTCTCATAGATATGATGAGGACTACTCGCTCCGAGACTTTGAAACGATTAAAAAGACGACAAAATATTTCGACTAGACTAAAATTTGTATACACGTTTATGCTTTACCCATTTTATGTAAATAAACATCCTAGACGTCATTGGCCCGAGCCCGAAAAAGATAAACAAACTCTTTAGTTATACGTTAAACAGCATCAGGTATTTAGTTTTTGTGTAACCTCACAGCTGTCGTCAATTTTTCTGTCTTGTGTGAACTGGCATACAATGTATTCGTTTCGACAATGCGGACAGTACAAGCAAATAATTCCCTGCAATATTTTAGTTCATGCATTAAGGCCCTATTGCTAGCACCTTGAAAATCTTTGACCAAAGGCAACTGTGTCAACATTGTGATTAACATCACATCGCCGTGATAACGTCACGTCAGAAAGGAGTCTTGTTTCGATGATGCATCATCACGAAAATCTATGACCAGAGGTAACTGTGCTAACACATGCAAGATTGGAATCACATGGCCGTAACAACGCCGAGAAAACACTGTTATCATACCTTAACTTTTTTTCTCTGGGAGCACGGTTCTTAATGCCTCAGGCGGGCCGGCAGGGCTTATCGTCATGCCGAAGATGCAGTGTGGGGGCATTTGTGTTAAAGAATAATGGTGTGGATGTTTGTTTTTCGAA